AAAAAAAAAAAAAAAATCTAAATCCCTATTTCCACAGTTAGCGGCCATGTAATTGCCATTTAATTTGATTCATAACAATTCTTACCAATGTTTGTTTGTCGATTGACTTCAGTTTTGTGGGTGTCAAGTCCTAAAATCGATTTCTTGATCTATATATTTTCATGTACGTTTTTTATATTCTCTTTTACTCAATTACCCTTTTTGGATAAAATCCTCTCCAGAGTGTAGTCTTAAATCCTCCTGGAGAGTGTAGTCTCAATCCAGATTAGTTTATCTACCATTTAAAGTGTTAAATTGATGATTACTGATTTGACACGGGTAACCATGGGATACCACGGTGATAAAACCCGAATAATGACCGAATAGTCGTGAACAGTCGCGAATAGTGCCGAATAGTTGCGAATAGCGAACGAATCTTTAGTGACGAATAGTAGCGAATAGTGACCAATAGATGCGAATAGTTAATATCAATGTTATGTTTATAAACTTAAAACATGAAAATGAATAAAAAATGAATCATGAAACTTAAGGAAATAATTTTTTTTTAAATTTGTTTTTATTTATATAATTTTTATGTTCTCTATTTTTCTATTTATCTTTTTATTTTTTATTTTTAAAAAATTAATTTACTTTGTTATTATTATTGAATCAAAAACTAGACTATCTTGTGTCAACACAGAACAGCGAGGATTACTCCCGGTTAACAGTTAACCAGCAGTTAGCTATTAACTGGCAGTAACCGTGACCGTGGCGATAAAAGACTAATCAAACTCCGAGGAAAACAAGATCTATTAGTTTTGACAACCTTTTTATGGGTCTGTATTTTATAATTGGTGCACAATTATGATTAGTTGATTTTGCCTTACTATAGCGCAAATAATCAGAAAAACAAGTACATTCATTTGATAATTATTTGGAATTAATTATTTTAATAATTAAAATCAGTTTGGAATTTATCAGAACAGTTTGGTTGATWTTGTCTCTAATATTGTAATATATATATTTAGGCACTGCCTAAAAGCGGAGCTCCCAATACGGAAGTCACAGGGAGAACTGAAAGGTAAAAATAAGATAAAGGAAAAAATCTTCAATTTTTTTAATTCGAGATGAAGATAATTTCTCCCATAATAAAAACCATACAGTGAAATCGAATCGAAATGCAGTACATTGTTGTTTTTTTTTTGTTGTTGTTGTTTTGTTTTGTTTTGTTTTGCGTGAGTATGCTCTCCCACTTAGGAATTTTGTACACAATTCACCACCACCCCCAGGGACTAGTTTTGTTCTTGGAAGATTTTCTTCGACAAAATTTTCCAAGGCCGACAGTTTTAGGCTTTGAATCTCTTTTAATTAAAGAAAAACGAAAGATAACTACAGATAATCCAATACAATATCAAGTTTAGTGAAATTTACCTCGTATGTCTTTCGTGGAAATCGAAAATCTGGAGATTTAGGACAAATCAAGGCTAAAAAACCGGACTTGAAAACTGGTTAAGGCACAGGCTAACCACTCTAATAAATGAAGGAAATACTAAATGGTGTCTTGTCTTTTTATGCGCGCGCTATCGATTTTTTTGTCTTCTCCCCTACCCCCCTTGGTAACAATTTTGTTTTTCTACTAGACAATATACCAACAAGGTAGGCAACTTCRCGGGCATCCTGTGGAAAATTCAAACTTTGACGAGAGAAAGCCGCGAATTTATCCAGATATTTTGACTCCGAAAACAAAATCAAACCGCCGTATGGCGAACTCGTTGATACTAGTTGACATTCTAGAGATTGGGCTTCCTGTGTTTTATACTTGTTGATATGCGAATGTTTCGAAGTATTTCGCTCAATTTCATATTTTAAATACTCGATTTAGCTGGTAAGATGATAAGTCGTCCTTTCATTTTCCTTTTAACACCTACTTTGTTTAGTTCTTTGTTATTTTGTTTAGTTTAGATTCTGTGATTCTGATGATTGTCTGAATGCAACGAAATACGACTTCGACAGACTTCTATTTGCTAAGTCTTTTGAAAAACGAATTCTGGATTTTGTTTTTAATTTAAAAGTCGGGCCGAGTGCTTTATTTCAGGAATCATTCGATTAAATCTTTCTGGCTAACAAAAAGCGTTGCGTTATGCGTTACTACTTGTCTTGACCTTCAAGGGTCACGGCGCTTACAGTTGATTCGTTGCCCGAAATGTTTATATTGAACACTTTATTTACACTGTGAACTAAGCGAATATTTTGTAGAAATTGGTTTAGAAATACTATTTAATTTGTTTTCATTCAAGTCTGTAAATTACGGATTATTTATTGGAGCGAACTTTCGTTCGTTGTCTCGAGCGACATCTATTGTGTAGAATGGTACCTTCGCAGATTAACATACAAGAACATTGCTTCGGCGATCAATCTACTTATTTAATATTCATAACGGCTTATTTGGATGACAAAACTGGCTGAATGTTCTTCAAGACTCCATCGGAATTGTTCCTAATTATTCTACGATCTACACATTGATTTAATATTTAAGAAGTCACCAGCAGTTCTAATAAAAACGTCGCTCGATCGAGTTAATAAGATTTCTTTGCTGATCGGCCGCMGTGACTTTATAGACCTTTCTCTAATGAGAATAAATTCCTTCAAAGATTGAAATCTGAATCTCGTTTTGAATTCTAATAAGAGGTGCTTTTTTCGATGCATCCGGCTCGACCCACGAGTCTTTTGAAAAAATCTAAATATGTTGACGATTGTACATAAGCGTTCCTGTTCACTTCAATACATCAGCAAAAAGAGGTTTAACTCATTAAAATTTTAGTTCAGGCGTTAATTGTATATTTTTTAATCAACTTGCATCTTTCCTTGATTCTTTAAATATAAATATTCCGAAGAAAAAAATATGTGCGAGTATGCGCATGCTCATTGGGTCCACAGTGCTAGAAATATCCCACATGTTTCATCAGCATT